TGCTTCGAGGTATCTAGGATGAAGGTCAGGAATGATAGGGAGAGTACTCTAATAAGAGATATACACAACTTCCAGATTTCGCTGCAAAACTTCACCTTGTTTGAACTTGAAACTGCAACTAACAATTTTTAGCCAAGGTTTGTACATTGAGTTCATAAATTCCAGAAGTTTCCGTTCGGGTCCTAATATCTGCTAGGATCCTAAATTCCAAATGTTATTGAAATTTTTGCATGGCCCAAATTTTGTAGAAAACTTGATTGGAAAGGGCGGTTATGCTGAAGTTTACAAGGGATATCTGCCAGATGGAAGTTTTGTGGCCATAAAACGGCTAACTAAAGGCACCCTGGATGAGAGGACGGCAGGCTTTCTATCCGAGATTGGCATTATAGCCCATGTGAACCATCCTAACACTGCGAAGTTGATTGGATGTGGCATTGAGGGAGGAATGCACCTTGTTTTTCAGTTATCCGCACTGGGGAGTCTAGGATCTCTTCTTCATGGTTTTTCTCCAATTCATATTCTCTCATTGAGCTACAATTTTGTTTTTTGTTTCTTTAAGTTTTAATAATTGTTTAATCACATTGTTTAGGATCGTCTAAGGGTGTGCTAGATTGGAGTAAAAGGTACAAAATTGCTCTAGGGACAGCAGATGGCCTAACATATCTTCACGAGACTTGTCAAAGGCGAATAATTCATAGAGATATCAAGGTGGATAACATTCTTCTTACGGAGGATTTTGACCCCCAGGTACTTTTCAAGTCTTGCATTTGAGACGAATGCATCACTGCATCTATTATTTCCCTAATAAGTTGTTTCAAGATTTGGCTGATGATGAGGCTAAAGATTTGCAGAAAATCTTGACCTGCAATAAGTGCATTGCATACTTTGATACATGAAGATGGGAGTTCAGTTGTTGTTAGATTAGTGTTCTTCATGCAGAATTAAAGGTTTACACTTCTTAATTCGAAAATATCCATGCGGAGACTGAGTTGTAATTCCATCAGATATAGAATCTTTCTGTGGTTAAGTTTGCAAAATTTACTTTTATAACAAAATGAGAAAGTAAGTGCCAGAGAATGATGCATTGAATAACATGACGTTCGTTGTTTGAACCTTGATTTCATTAGTTAATCTTTAGGCAATGCATTGAGGAAATCTTCAAGGTTATTGATTGTGTTTGCTCGATCTAACTATCCAGAAGGGTACACTGATACTCAAATGATCCTACAAAGCAAATAAGAAAATCGAGACTCAATTACTCACGAGTAATGATTCAGTTGAGGAGAAGATGTGCTTCTTAACTTCACCATCTAGTTCAACTATAGTAGAGAACAAAAGTTTGAATCAAGCTGATGTAGAAGAATGTTGATCATCTAACGCGATGATTCTCTTACTGTTGAAGAAAAAAGAACTTGACTTGTTTGAATGATAGAATCCAAATAAAGAAGTTTATAATTTGGAGCTGCTTGTGTTCGTGTTCTCATCAATGCAAATATCTCTTACGAATATTTTAACCGTACTTCTCTTATGATCTTGGTTCATATTTAGCAAGCAAGACTTATCTGCATTGATTACTTATTCATTGATTATCCTCGTCAATCTTGATCCAGATTTGTGATTTTGGGCTTGCAAAGTGGCTTCCAAAGCAATGGACTCACCGCAATGTATCGAAGTTCGAAGGCACATTTGGGTCTGTAAGCCTGGAAAATCTTCCTTTATGTTTTGATATTACTAAAAAAATTCTGGCTTATTTGTTCTTCTTGCTTCTTGCTTTTTGACTCGCAGTTATCTTGCTCCTGAATATTTCCTGCATGGCATTGTTGATGAGAAAACTGATGTTTATTCATTTGGAGTTCTACTTTTGGAGCTCATTACAGGACGCCGAGCTCTGAATCATTTACAGCAAAGCCTTGTCCTATGGGTATATATTTCTTTCTGCACATTCCAATTATACCATCAAATAACTATCATGCATACACAAACAGACACCTATTTATAAACCTATCATGCTTGTTTTTCATTTAATTCTTTCTTGCAGGCAAAGCCTTTACTGGATGACAATGATATCAAGGAGCTTGTAGATCCCTCCCTTGGTGATAACTATGATTTGAAAGAGATGGACCGCGTAGTTTTAACTGCCTCTTTATGCATTGAGCATTCACCTATTCTGCGTCCTCGGATGAGCCAGGAAAGGATTTTTCTGTTTATTTATCTTGCATTTGCTCAAAAGAATTGAACTTCTTTTTCTATCTACTTAAGTTTTTGGTAAGGTCAACTATTTCATATAATATTAAAATGAAAGATCCAGGTTCAACATGTTATACAAAATTTGGTTTCTGCAGGTTGTGATACTGCTAAGAGGCGACGAGTATGCTGCAGAGTGTGCCAAAGAACAAAGAAAATCACTCCAGAGAACTTACTCGGAAGAGACCTTGGATGCGCAAGAATACAACTCGACAAAGTATAATATGGACGAACTCGATCGGTTCAAGGAGTTGGCATTGTCTTCTTGAAATCAAAACAATGTACAGTTTTTTTTTTCATATAAACTGGCTTAATTTATCATGGTTTCTTTAGGGTTATTGCAGTGTCTCAGAGAAAAGTCCCGTGGAAAACTGTTTTTCATTTAGAACCAGAAATCTTATTTTCTGCGTTACATGAAAAACAGTTGAGAAGGAGTTCAGTTCTATATGTATATACATATATATATGAAAGACGAAAGGATTATCTATCTTCTTTTTGCTTTTTAACTTCCTGAGGCTGCTAATGTTTGTAAATTAATAGGCGTTAAACTATTATGGTCCGAGTTAGGTCAAATGGAATTTACTCGTTAGGACTATTGGGCCTGGTTGGGCTCAGTTTTGGGCCCAAGTCAAAATGGATTAGGCTCAGCCCAACCCAAGATGGTCGGGCTCAGTTCAGGCCTATCCAAGATGGATCTAGCATGGTCTAAGTCAAGATGAATCGGGCTTGGGCCCAGTCCAATATGGGTCGGGCTACTTCGGTCTCGGGATCTATCTGAGACAGCCTGGGCTAATTCGAGATAACTGGGCTCGAGCCTAGTCCAAGATGGCCCGGTCCCGATTCAAGATAATTTGGGCTTGGACCCGTCAGATTGAATAGACCATGAAGTGACAGAACGAATTGGGCTTGGGCTTGGGTTCGATCGGAGATAGATCGAGCCCATTAGACTGGTTTAGTCCATTATATGGTGTGTTTTTTGGGCCGGAAAACTGTCGCACATTTACATAGTGATTATGTTATATTTATTTTTCATACATTTGTACTAAATTTATTTAAAAGCTAATTATATATTTTCTACAACAGTGATTATTTATTTATAAAACGTTTTTAAAATTAATTAGTAGAACATTAATGTCTACATTCAAATCATATATATATATACACACACACTCAATATTCAATTTTTTTAAAATTCGTGCATGTATATTTTTAATTCATTAATAGTAAATACTGATGTGCGCACGTCATTAAGTATTTAATAGATGTAGCAAATTATAATTAATTAACTTAAAATAAATAAGGTTTTTTATTTATTAAGTAAGTATAATTGTGCATGGGTAATGGATTAAACTTATTATTTATCTTTTAAAGACTTCTGTTAATCACATTTGGGGTTAATAGAGAAAATGGTCAAAATACGCAACTAGAAGGTTGGCCGTGAGATTAGAAAGATAAGTTGACACGTCAAGTTAGCATATCCTCTCATTATAAAAATATTTTTCTCTCTCCATATTTGTTTTTGAAATCTCAGAACGACAACTGTGCATAAAAATAAATAAATAAATAAATAAAAGAAAAGAAATTCGTATTTTTCATTTTCAATTTTTTTTTTTTTTTTTTTTGGTGGGTTCGCATCTCTTTGAAGATATTCCCAGTCTCTGTCCTAACCCAAGTTTTTATTTTATTTTTCTAAATTTTAATTTTCATTTCGTACATTTCTCTATTTATTGTTAATTTCTAATAGAAACTTCACGTGTTAAATATTTTGTAGAATATATTTAATGAAGACAGAAATATCATCATGGTTAGTATTGAATTTTTAAGACCATATTATATATATTTTTATGATGAAAAATTTTTTGTTCACACACAAATAAAATATATATTTATTGGCGAAAGCATGGCAACATTATAAGCACACGGTCACATGGGGAATTAAATTTCAATTATAACGCATAAAAACAATAAATATCTAATTTATGCTATTTTAAAATTATGTTTTCACCCTATTCATTTATTTCAATTGTACCATTTATAGGACCCAAAATAAAAATAATTTTATTATTCTAACAAAACAATAATATAAATCGAGCTTTCAATGTAAATTATAGAAGAAATAAGATTTAATAATACTCTAAGCCTTGCATTAAAAAAATAAATTAAACTTAAAATGAGGAAAAGAAACTGGACCAAATTGGAAATTGGTAAAACCTCAGGGGACTATTTTGATAATTTCGGAAACTTTGTGGGATTCACGTGAAATTTTGCAAAATATATTGCTTGCAGTGCAATCAAGAAACTTTTTTTTAGAAACAAAAAAAAAAAAAAAAGACAACCGTTTCCCCTTCCTTCTTCTCCTCGTCTGTTTAAAGGTCAAAACTCAACCACCACCAGCACCACCATGATCACCAAAATTTAACAGAAGAAAACGTCACCGTTTTCTATTTTTTTTTTTCCCTCCCTCTGTGGATTATCCGCTTCAATAAACTGCTTATGCGATTGTTGATAGTTTCTTCATTCCCGGTGGCTTCCGGTGGCCGGCAAACTTACCGTCGTCGATTTTATTTCTACTATGAAGAACAACGCCAACGGTAATTACAATAGCAACGGCAACAAGAGTAGCAGGAATGGTCTTATCCCAAATTCTCTGAAATTCATTTCCTCTTGCATTAAAACCGCCTCTTCTGGTGTCCGGTCAGCTAGCGCCTCGGTCGCCGTTTCCCTCTCTGGTGATGCACAGGAACACAAGGAAGAGGTCGTTTTATTTGATTTCTGTATTTACTAGTTAATCATCTATTAGTTTGATTTTTCGATTTTGCTTCTGATTTTGATTATTCCGAGGTTGGAGGTGGGAGCGGGAAGAATTTTTACTCTTGATAGCTAATTTTTCCTAAGTTTGTTTAATTTACGGTAAAATTTTGAGGAAAATAGAAGGGTGGTGATGGAGCTTCGGTGTTGCTCTTTTTGGCTGCTGAGAAAAATGCGAGAAATGGAGGAAGGAAGTAAAACTTGGAGAAATAGCCATTCCTGATATAGTTTTGTTTGGTTGCCCAGAAAATGAAGCAAAGGAAAATGAGTTGGAATCTTGAGTCGTGTATGTATTTTGGTGTCTTGGACTTTGCATTCATTTGATGGAATAGCTTCTAGAAGTGTTCTGTCTGTTTATTGATATTAGAATTTAAGGAATAGAGTTGGAAAGAAGAGAATTGGAATGTTACAACTCCTACATATTTAGCTATTTATGGAAGTGAAGAAAATGAATTCTAAGGAGCATTTTGGTTTATTGAGCTTGTTATTTCATGCTTTCTTGCTTCGTTAATTGAGTATTTGTAACGTTTACTGTAACACGATGGTTTTTGGTGTCCTAATATGGTTGGCAATGATCAGCGAAGTCCCTGAGTAAGGAACTAGAAAATGGTGTGTTCTTAATTATACATGATCTGCCAGTTGTTCTCGAAACTAAGAATTAGTTTACTAGCAGTTTCAACTTTCCAAAATGCCCAACAAACTATTTGATAAAAAATTGTAGTTTGGGTTCATCCGGGGCAAGAATTAACTAAATTCTTGATCACCAGTTAAGAAACTTGAGTCTGATGATGTAATCGGTCGCTAGTCAGTGCTTGGGATTTGCTCATTATTAGGCCACATGCCTGTTCATCTTTTCTTTTTGATGATCTTGATGCAATATGTGGATTAGCTGTTTCAACCTCTTCTTAGAAGAGTTGCCTTTAGTTAGGTTACTGCAAGCTTGTAAAATCCCAGAACACGAATTGCGTTATTGTTCCACTAAATAATGATCAGGAATCTTAGTTTGGAAATATTTACCGAATCCATTTTCTCAAAATGATTAGAAGTTAAGCCCTGATTCGTTTCTGGAAAATTATTTTGAGTTTTAACATTTTAGTACATCTTTGTTTACAAAAATATCTATAGTTGATGAATCTAAAAATTAAGTTGAAGAAATGATAGTGATGAATTGAGTTTGAAAATAACTTTTTTATTCTGTTTAAACCCACTTTTTATGTCACTTTTCTACCTTTTATTTTGTTTTCACAACCAGACATATTTTTCTTTATGTATTTCTAAAATTAAAATTTTAAAACAGTTCTCGAGAAACTAAACAGTGTCTAAGCTTCCCACTCAGATTATGAAATCATAAAAGTAGATCTTGCCCATTAATCAACAAAACAATCATGGTTCTAATATTTCAGTTTGTAGACGGGATGTGATATAACACAGATGGCTGAAGTGTCTTTTATGGCTATTTTTAAGGATTGTAATGATGTAAGCTATCATGAAATTTAGCATGAAAGATTAGGAAATCTTGGCTTTTTTCTAGGTGAGTGTCCATTGGAAACCTTGAGATGACCACGACAAACTTTGGTATGAAGGATTTTTTGGTTTGGGTTTGTTTATCTAATTGTTTTCCTCTTTGCGAATGGTTGCTAGAGGCTATGGTGGTTAAGGTACAGGGTTACTGAGCACACGTGCTTTTCAGCTGAATATATGCTTTATCATGCGATTGAGCTCAGTAGATATTATCTATAGATCATCACTACCCTTATCTCATTGGATTTTCTTTAGTGGACTTTGTTTTGCTGTTTTCAGAGACGTAGCATCTTGTTTTCTACATCATGTGCTATCATGGTCTGAATTGTTTTACTTGAGCAGGTACTCTGGGCATCCTTTGACAGATTAGAAACTGGTCCATCTTCCTTCAACCGTGTACTCTTGCTTGGCTATTCCAATGGCTTTCAAGTTCTTAATGTTGAAGATGCCTCCAATGTCAGAGAACTCGTTTCAAAACGTGGTGATCGTGTTACATTTTTACAGATGCAGCCCCTCCCAGCAAAGTCAAAAGGTCATGAAGGATTCAGAGCTTCGCATCCTTTACTTTTGGTTGTTGCATGTGATGAACCAAAAGGCTCTGTTAATAGAGATGGGTTGGCTAGAGATGCTTATGATGAGCCTCAATCTGGAAGCCTTCTTATCTCCCCTACAACTGTTCGGTTTTACTCACTAAGGTCTCATAATTATGTGCATATTCTTAGATTCCGCTCAACTGTGTATATGGTTAGATGCAGTCCTCGAATAGTGGCTGTGGGTCTTGCAGCACAAGTAAGCATTTTCTTGTTTCAACATTTATTTCCTAAGTAACTCCTGCACTTGTTTGTGGAATTCTTTAAATTTTTTATTGGGGAAAATCTGAAAGGCCATTGTGGCCATTCAATTGAGACTTCTGTGAATGTTCTGGTTCTAACAATCAATAATGATCGGATTGGATATTTCCGAAACAAAAATAGTGATCAGATTGGATGATTGCAAAACCACTTGTAAACTGCAACCACTAACAATTATGAAACCTTTAGTTCTTTTCTTTGATAAAGTTTTCTATTGGAGATAAGCTATTCCAAGGCTAATTTCTTTCCATATTTTGCTGCAGGTATACTGCTTTGATGCTCTGACTCTTGAGAATAAGTTTAGTGTTCTCACATATCCTGTTCTTCAAACGAGTGGACAAGGAATGGTTGGAATTAATAACGGATACGGTCCAATGGCTGTGGGTCCCAGGTGGTTAGCCTATTCTCCTAGCAACCCATTGTTGTCTAATTCAGGTCGCCTGAGTCCGCAGAGTCTCACTCCTCCTGGTGTCAGTCCATCAACTTCACCAGGCAGTGGGAGTCTTGTGGCGCGATATGCTATGGAATCTAGTAAGCAGTTGGCCGCTGGATTGATCAATTTGGGTGACATGGGCTACAAAACTTTATCTAAATACTATCAAGATCTCATGCCTGATGGCTCTAGTTCTCCTGTATCTTCAAATTCAGCGTGGAAAGCTGCTCGCACAGTATCTCATTCAGGAGAAACAGACATACCTGGGATGGTTAGTTTTTAAGATTTTGAGGTGCAGATTTCTGGTTATATTAAAGCACATGATAGTTGTAAACTTTCTGGCAAGAAGGGAGAACTTTATCGTTCATATGATTGCATTTTGTCTACTGGATATATGAGTGTAGAATATATGAGCCCTTTGTGTATAAGTTAAGGATCTTCCTTTTTCATTTATACACTTATTGCAGGTTGTTGTCAAAGATTTTATTTCCAGCGCTGTTGTATCCCAATTTAGGGCCCATACTAGTCCAATTTCTGCTTTATGTTTTGATCCAAGTGGGACTCTTCTGGTTACTGCCTCAATACACGGGAACAATATAAATATTTTTCGTATTATGAGATCCTACTCAAGGAACGGGTCAGGCAATCAAAGCCATGACTGGAGTTCATCTCATGTACATCTTTACAAGCTCCACAGAGGAGTGACATCAGCTGTATGGTTTGGTTCTTTTTCTTTTTCTTTTTCTTTTTTTCTCTCAAGCCTTTTTCTTTCTTTTTGTATATCCACTTACTCTTCCTTTGTTAGATTTATCATAACAGGTCATACAAGACATTTGTTTTAGTCACTATAGTCAGTGGATTGCCATTGTATCCTCACGGGGGACTTGCCACATTTTCGTGCTTTCCCCTTTTGGTGGTGAGAATGTTCTTCAAATACAGACTTCTCAGGCAGATGGACCTACAATTTCCCCAGTTGCATCTTCCCCTTGGTGGTCCAGTCCGTCATTCATGATAAACCAACATTCTTTTTCTCTACCGCCACCAGCAGCTGTTGCCCTCTCTGTCGTTAGCAGAATAAAACATAGTAGCTCTGGTTGGCTTAATACAGTGAGCAATGTGGCAACTTCTGCAGTTGGGAAGGCCTTCATTCCTTCTGGTGCTCTTGCTGCTGTTTTTCATAGATCTGTTTCTTGTGATTTACAGCCAGTTCTGTCGAAGGAAAAGGCTTTGGAGCACCTTTTGGTTTATACTCCTTGTGGCCATGTAGTTCAGTATAAACTGCTCTCATCTACAGGGGGAGAACAAGCTGAAACTACTACAAGAATTGTGTCAGGTTCTTCTACGCAGGTACAAGATGAGGAATTGCGAGTAAGAGTTGAAGCAGTTCAAGGCTGGGATGTATGCCGAAGAATAGAGTGGCCAGAAAGAGAGGAATGCATTTCTGAAATCACTCTTGTTGAGCAAGAAACTGTAGAGATGAACATGGATGCTTCTGATTATGAAGACAATGATGTTGGGCATAAGGAGTTGGTGAAGCACCAAGAGCAATCCCACTTGTATATATCCAATGCAGAGGTGCAATTAAACTCTGGAAGGATACCGATCTGGCAAAACTCTAAGGTATTGTTGTGATATACTCGTGAGATGCTCTTGTTCATCACCCTTTGTGCTTGGTCATGTTTATTTCAAATATTTCAGATATCATTCCATACGATGGACGCTCTGGGGATTGATGAGTTTAACTTGGCTGATATTTCTGTTGGTGGAGAGATGCAAATCGAGCAGGTGCCTGTTCATGAGGTTGAAATAAGGCAGAAGGATTTATTGCCCATTTTTGACCATTTTCACAGGATTCCGACGAATAGGAGCAATAGGTAATTCAATGTTCTTGTTGTAATGTGTGTTCTGGTTTTTGTTACTTAGCTCTAACGTAGAATTTCATCTTTGGGGACATGGAACTGGACGGATGTGGAATCCACGTTTTTGTTCACTAAAAACCGACTTATTTTAAACTTATTCATATATTATCTATCATGTAACATTCTCTTAAGTCTCTCTCCCCATAAAGATTCCTATAGATAACTTATTTCAGAAGTTTATTTTATTTTTTATTTTCATCGTAAACTTCCTAAAAAATCAATTTGATTTATCATTTTGCACAGAGGTGCTGGTTTTGAGACATCTTCCATTTCATCTCCCGACCCTTATGAAGCTAAAGGAAAGTATTCTGAAGACATCATTGCTGCTAAGTTGACATCACCTCTCCCAGTTGGAGATTCAGATGATGGTAGGATAATCTTTAACAAATTTAATGTATCATATTCCTCAGAATGATATAGCTTACCTTGTTTTTGGTGCTACAATCAGGATCATTGAGGATTTCTTCTACATCAATTCAATCTGGGAATGAGAATAGTAACACAAAAGGAGGGAGTTCTTTCGTTGCTTTACATATGATGAACCAAAACTCTGTTAGCAGAGATGGTAGTTCAGTTTCTTTTAAACAGCCTGTTGATCATTCTTCTACTGAAGCTACTAATTTTAAGAATAGCCCATCATCATTAACTAGTGCCTTACCTTCTGTGGGAAGAACAATTACAAAAGAAACTCAGTCTTCAAACAGTGGTGGGACAAGTGAAAGTATAAACACAAGTTTTAACTGTTCTAATTTGACCCTAAACAGTCTAGGTGAGGGACTATCAAATGACTCACCTGATTTTGAGCAGTTCTTTCAAGAGGAGTACTGCAAAGCATTGGCCTCAAGTGAATCTCATGAATCAGCAGAAGTTGTTACTGATATAGACAGTAATAACAGTCCCTGTGATAGAGAAAAATCCGAGGAAGATGGTGACAATGATGATATGCTTGGAGGTGTTTTTGCCTTCTCTGAAGAAGGTAGGAAGTTAAAAAATATATTTAAATTACTGATTTTTAAATAAATTTTTGGTTAAAGTTATCAGATTTTTTTTTTAACCAAGCATTCTCATGTTGATCGCAGTAATATAAATATCTTGATGCAGTAGATATCTGTTCTTGCTGAATCTGATCTGTATTCTTTTGTAGTAAATAGAGGCTGGTAATGAGGCCTTATTGATTATTTATTCTAAAACTTATGGAGGCAAAACTATCAATGAACTTCATACATTTGAAAAGGCTTATATTAGGATTTTTCAATTTCTTTTCACTAGATGTAACTAATAATGCATGTCTATTCTAGTAATTAGCTGGTTCCTTTCTTTTATTGATATATATATATATATATAATTGGCTATATGTTCGGTGGCCCAAGAAATACTGTATGGGGACCTTTATCTGTAAGATTATACTGCTTCTTGGTTATTACTTGTGTGTTGATTGAGAAAGAATCTCGTTGG